GAGCTGAGAAGCCATGACTCACTCTAGTACTGTACCTTGCCCAAGAATGGAACATTAGAGACTGGTTGGTAATTACCCAATACTGTGGGATCCAAGGAGGGCTTTTTCAACAATGGTTTTACTACTGCCTCCTTTAAGCACGCAGAGGTCCTACCCTGCTGCAAGGGGGCATTCACCACTCCTCCTACTCACTCAACCAGTCCTTCTCTGACAACTTTTATAAGTCATGAAGGGCAAGGGATCCAACAGACTTGTGGTAACTTTCACCTCTCTGAGGCTTCTGTCCACATAATCAAGTTGGAAAAAAATGGAAACTTATTCATTAACACAGATAAGCAGGGGCCATAGTTACATCCACAGGATTTCTATTAACCATAGCATCCATGTCAGAGCACAGCTGAGCAACTCTGTGTGCAAAGTGTTTTGCAAACTCTTCACAGCGAGCTGTGAATGTGGTATGCATTCTCTTCCTGCGGGCCAGCATGTAATAGGCCCTTAACCACTCTAAAGAGCTCCACCAGGCGACTCTGTGCAGATGCCATGGTGGCCAAGAAATAATGTGGTTAACACCATGTTTAGCAAAGGCTATGCTGAAAAGAGGGAAGTTATCAAGTTACTTCATCTTCCTCAAGCCAGCCTTGTGCCTCTCCATAGCAACATTTTATTGAGTGGGAAGATGTTGAGAAAGAAGCATTGTAGAAGGCAACCATATATGGACTGGGAAAGGTTGAGGCAAAAAACCAGAAAAGAGCAAGGAGTTGCAGGCAGGAGTTACGTATCAGCCAGCCAGCTGCTAGGTGACAAATTTCAACTTTGCATACAACACTAGCTGACATTACCCACCACTGCTTGTGCTGGACCTTTGCAATTATTAAAAAGGAATGTTTTTCTTTGCTAGTTTAGAGGAAAAACATGGTGGTTCTTTCTTCCTGCTATGAGTCTCACAAGCGACCCATGTGTTATGAATAATTCTGTTAACTGGTCTTTGTTTTTTATTAATCTGCATCTCTATATATCTCATAAGGGCAATCAGCCATGTTTCTCCATTCGTTTAGCCTTCAATATAAATGCTTCTATGGGACGTGGTGGCACTGCGGGTTAACCCGCAGAAGCCTGTGCTGCAGGGTCAGAAGACCTGCAGTCATAAGATCGAATCCACACGATCGAGTGAGCTCCCATCACTTGTCCCAGCTCCTGCCAACCTAGTAGTTTGAAAGTATGCAAATGCAAGTAGATAAATAGGTACCAGCTCAGTAGGAAGGTAACGGCGTTCCGGGTCTAGTCATGCTGACCACGTGACCACAGAAACTGTCTTTGGACAAACGCTGGCTCTATGGCTTGGAAATGGGGATGAGCACCGCGCCCTAGAGTCGAACACGACTGGACTAAGTGTCAAGGGGAACTTTTTACCTTACAAATGCTTCTGAACCAAATAAAGAGTAATTAAATCTGTGTAACACATTACCTGCTCTTTTAAGACTCATCCAAAATGCAACCTGTTATGATAAAACCTGGTAGTATCCATTACACAATATATATCACTTCTATATGACCTCCAAACCATCCATGTTTATCAGATGCATCAGGGGAGCACCACTTGTGATCCTACCAGCAGGCATAACCTTCTTTATGCCGACAGTCCAATCATGGAATTTTCTTCCTGTGAAAGTATACAAATGGTTGGCTCCCACCTTGTTCAGTTTTTGACATCTGAAAAGCAATGGTTCACGCAGGCTTTTAAGAAGTAATCTGGCCTTGGGACTTGACTGTATATGTTCTACCATATTCTTAGCTTAGCATAACGATTGATGATTAAGATATGAATACTGATTTTTTTTAAATGTTGTGCATCAGTGTCCAGCCTGAACAAGCATTCCAATGAAGTTGAATATTCATATATTTCTTTGTGATTTTTTAAACTGGTGTCAGAAGATGAGTTAGTCTATTTGAATATTGACTTCTGTTGCTGATGAAACCTTATATTGTGAACAATGGGAACTAGAAACTGCAGAAACAGCAGAGGTGGGAGTAAAATAATAGCAAAACAGCTCTTTTTCATGAGCAGAGATGGATTCCTGTTTAACAGAAGCAGCATGAAAATAATACTGAAAATGGTACATTTTAAAATAATAACCAACAGGGATACAAGCCCCCTCATTCTGCTGTCCATTCCAGGTGCCCAGACCAGAGCACCATCCTCACAGCTTTGTAAGATGTATTGGTCAAGATAACATGTTGTTCCACCCTCTCTTTGCCTTTGCTAGCTGCGTTCTTAAAGTAGCTAATACTCACCAGGTGGACTTAAGGAACTTTTGCAGACTTATCTGTGGCCTCTTGAACAATTTATTGGTCATGAGTTACAGCCATCTTGTGAATATAGCCACAAGACTTACAGGAGCAATTCTACTGTTTTTCATCAAACAATTCACTTGAAACTACGATAATGGGTTAAAGTACTGAATTACTACATTTTTGCTTCATGAAAGCGCAACAAATGATATATTTCTGTGCTGGCTCTAATTTTTTTTTGCATTTTTTATTTACATTTTACAATGCACTGAAAAGAAGAAAGTAGCTAATATATTAAACTCAAGTGAGTGCCATAAAGATTACACAAAATCTTATCAAACGTTCAAGCACTTGGATCTTTTCTAAAAAGATATAATTCACTTTCTAATTGTATTTACCATGGATTATATCCAATGTTGCCATTCCATTGGAACAAAGCCTATGGTGCTCATGCAAATCCCTTTTCATCTTTACACAAGTGTCAGATCCAGTGTTTTGATTCCATTGGCATAAACCACTGAGCAAATGCTTGCACAACTCATGATGGCAGGGGTGGGCCAAATGCACCTCTTCAGATGGCTAAGGTTGCATTATGGATTTATTTAGCCAGATACCACAAGTGCCAGCTCCGTTATGACTTGTACAACTGCTAGAGGAACAATACCATCGTTTTACCAATGAAGTTAAATCCAACAGTGTGTTATTTGAGAGTGTCTCGATTCTGCAAGCCAGGGCAGATAAAAATAAATATTTTTTTTTAAAAAAAATTGTAATTGATTTAAATTATAATTTCAATTTTAAAAAATGGTTAAAAATCATTTTTTAAATTTACAGTACATCATGATTTAAATCAATTTGTTTTAAATCAAACCCACCCTGCTGCTTGCGGCTTCATATGGCACAAAATATACTCTCCTCCCACACCGACATTGTTAGTTCAGCACCTAAAGCAAAGCACAGGGTTCAGCACCAGTCAGCATATTTACTATGTGATATTCCTCCTCCACATTTAATGACATATCCTGTAAGCATACAAGCAAGAAACCTAGTTACACTGAAAACAGACTGGCTATTCCTCGTAAAGTTATTATTCTAATATAGTTGTAACTTTGCAATTGGAAAAAGGAATTACAACCAACTTATCAATAATAAGTAGTTTCTAAGCTCTGTCCTTCCACGATGTTACTATATTCTCAAACATTAACTTCTGTGTCCAAGGCTTTCAGATGCTGCACTAGCAGACTTTTTTGCAAAGAACTTAGGAGTTCTTTAAACTCATATAGCACTTCCATCTCTGATTTAAATTAGAGGCACAACTCATTCTTAAAATGCCTAATGGTTTGCTTTTTTAATATGTGAGAGTACAAGTTACCCACGGAATCCACTCCTTCCCACATTATTTCATGAATCAAGAGTTTTGAGCATGACTCTCATCTAAAGAGACAAGCTGAAGCGGTGACTCATACAGGAACTATCCTGAAGGGCGTGTTAAGGGATAGTTTTACAATGTCCTTACAACCAGGAGTTGAGTAATTCAGTGACAAGATGCAGCAAAGTTAACCAGGCTTCTAGAAGCTGATTGGAAAGGGAGGGGGGAATGAGAGCAATACCTGGTATGTGTGCCTTCTATAGATGGTGCTCTGGGCTTATGGATGCCTTCAGTTTCTTATGGCACATTTAATTTGGAAATTAATTGCTTTAAAAGATCCTAAGAAAAAAGTTAAGAGATGCTCATAACCATATCAGGATGACTGGGAAGAAAACAGCACTACAGAAAACTTTATTCTGCAGCTTAATGTGACACAAACATATTTTGGGGAAAAATCTAACAGGATTGAAAATGCAATCATTTTTCAAAAGATCTTTCTTTAATTTCCCAATATTGATGACTATTCAGTTGGTGAATGGCACCAAGCTTCTGGGAAATATATAGAAGTACATGTCCAAGGAAGGGGCCCTTTTAAAATCTGTTGTTTCTTTTGTCTGTTTTTGTATTGTTCCAGTTACTGCTGCACTTCACTATATTCATTGTTATGCTATTATAATTTGTTTTGCTGAAAACTTTTGTCTGGCAGAAACACTCTTTTTTAAAAAAAGTTTAAGTTATGAGAATATGTTAGTATCAGAATTTTACACATTCACTGAAGTGTCATATTTGCTTATTTTTAAAAGGAAACCCATCTTTCTGTGTGTACATACTCAATTTTCCTGTGCTATGTTTACCAGTCAATTAGTGCCACCAACAATTAAACTACTGGGGTAAACAGAAGTATCATTCAATGTCCTTACTCTCATCATACCCCAATAAGAAGCTTACGGAATGAAAGGCTCATTGTTCACCTTTGCCATTATCTTCAGCACAGCTTAAGGCTGCCCTTATATCTTACCTGTTCAGGCCACAGCAGATCAGGTTATTGACCTAAAAGAAAGCCCTTTTGTATTAGTTTAGCAATACAAAAGGGCTTTCTTTAGGTCAATAACCTAAAAGAAAGCTATGGCTCTAGCATGAAGACTATACAGAAAAGATTATTTTGCAAAAAAGCTAATCAGAAGGAAAGCTCATAAATCCAGAACAGTCTAACAAAGAAAGGCATAAGCATAATATGATAACACTGAAGTGAGAAGAATGATTAAAGTCCTGTAGCAAAGAATGCCACAACTGGAACCATATAAGAATATTGCAATGTTTTAATGTAATAATTCAGTCTACCATAATTATTTTGCAAGTACCTGTTTATAAAAAGTTTAAAATATTGGAAACAATTTTTGTCCTGCAAAATACAGTTCTTTTAAAAGCATACAATTACATGCTACATTGCAACTATATATTGGTCATTGCACATTCACAGTGTATTTCTTCAAAAGGAGTGTGTATATTACACATATACATCTCAGTGCAAATAATCACTTGGGCATCAATAATACAATATTCCAGGCTATTTATAAAATCTGGCTTGGCAAGTCTGACAAATATATAAATGACGGGCTTACAAATTCCTATATATGTGTTGCAAGACAGGGCTTGTCTTTCATGAACAAAGAATAAGTGTAGCACTTGAAAACTCAAACCATTTAAATATGCATTTAAATACGGCATAAAACTGCCATCATCTTCTGACACAGTAGAACTTGCTATCAGTAGCAGTCCATGGGACCATCAACGTCTCTATGGGAAGTCCTCTTTACAACCAATGCAGAATCCTCCCAACTCAGGTGTCTTCAAAAAGAGTAACAAAGCAGACAGTGCCTACATCAGGTCTACAACCTTTGTTTTCCCACCTGAGAAGCATGCTTATGTACACCTTTTGAGTCCTGTGGGGAAAGGTAAATGTTGTGCCAGTCCTGATTAAATTAAATATGATTAAGAGTCCCAATATGTCAGAGAGTGGACACAGAACATTCAGTCAGTACTAGTCCAGGTTTTCTGCATTCTGAGTACAAAATCAGTAAGTTGATTTAGTTGTGTTTGAACTGGAGGAGTAAGAGGGGGATTTCCGCGGGTATCTATTTGAAGAGAGGGAGACTTGCATCCTCTTTGTAGTGCGCACACTTCGGCAGAGGAGAGCATTTTTAAGATTGTCCCTAAAGTCTTTTGAAACAAAGTAATAGATGAATGGATCAATGCAGCTGTTGAGACTAGAAAGGCACAGTGCTGTGATGTAGGAAGCATAGGTGTCACTGAAGCCATGGTTTTTGATCTGGGAGTAATGCACAAGCAGCAGAATGTTGCTAGGCAGAAAACAGATCAAGTACATGGAAAGGACTATAATGATGAGCCTGATGGCTCTTTTCCGTTTCTTCCCAATGTTCACATCTGTAATGGAAGCATTTAGAGTCTTAATCATGAGAATGTAGGCAACAGCTGTGAGAATAGCTGGGAACAAGAAGACTCCAATGACCAGGGAGAGGAAGTAGTTGTACATGTCATGAGCTAGGAGCGCTTGAGGCAAGACATCGTGACAAGTAGTGATGTTGAGGGTGGAAATGTGAACTGTTTGATCCACAAGATACAACGGGATGGTGCCAAGCAAAATGAGTACCCAGATTGCTAATGAAACTACTAAAGCAATTTCTGACTTCTTTCTTGAATGCAGGATGGGGTTCACAATTACCCAATACCTTTGCACACTGAGGCATGTCATAAAAAGAATGGAACAGTACATGTTCCCATAGAAAAATCCAACAAGCACTTTGCACAGGGCTTCACCGTAGATCCAATTATTGCCATTAATATGGTATGAAATCTTCAGAGGGAACCAGATCACAAACAGAAGATCTGCCAGTGCTAAATTAGCCATATAAATCACTGCTGGATGCTTCTTCGTTGTTCTTAGAAAGAAGACCCACAGAGCCATGGCATTGCTTGGCAAACCGATGATAAACACTACAATGTAGACCAAAGGCAAGAAAACCGTTGTCAGTTTTCCAGTAAGGATTTTAGCTGCAAACTCATCCACACCGTATGCTTCTTTAGAAGTATTGGTTGCATTGACTCTATGACGAATAAAGCTTCTTCCTTGTGATCTGCTGATTGGATGTGTCACTAAAAACAAAATAAAGCAAAACTGTTAGGCTTGCTGCTCATTTATTGGACACCCACATGCTCAATCATCACACAGCTTGCACAATGAAATAATACTGTTCAAGAAAAATTTGATACTACAATTGAGTTTGCTTTTACTACCACAGAATTAAGAAGACAATCTAGCAAGCTTTGTTCTAGAAAGAGAACTAACAGACTAGCAAATCAAATTTTGCATTGGATAGCAAAACATTCTGAAGTTGCCATAGGTAGGTAGGTAGGTAGGTAGGTAGGTAGGTAGGTAGGTAGGTAGGTAGGTAGGTAGGTAGGTAGGTAGGTAGGTAGGTAGGTAGTTCTCCCTCCCATACTCTCCTTGGACTGTTAAAAAAAGCCTCCCACTTTATATATGAAGACCACAGAAATGATGATCCTCCTAAAACTAGTCTTACCTACAGTAACAGGGAGCAAACAATAAAAAAACCACCAAGCAACTCCAATAGTTATTGTCACTAAGCCAATTAATTGGAAAGCACATTCCAGGCTGTTGAACTTCGTTGTGAAGGTGTGGAGACAGGATTGGAGAGGGGCCCAGAAAGGGGGAAACCAAGAAAAACGCCTAACCACCCACACCCCAAATTTTTGGGGTTTCCCCCTGTGAGGGTTCAGTTTTCGGGGCTGTTTTAAACAGCAAACTGGGTCTCACTCAAATAAGTGCTCCTTTATAGAAGCTGCTTCTTTTAACACTAAATATCCAGAAAAAGAATTCTACAGGAAAGGCCTTGTTTGTTCATTTATGTTTCTTGTTCTTGTATCAAATGAAAAAAGAAAAAAGGCACTTGAGATGCTTACAGTAGTAACATTCCAATAAAACCAGACAGGAAAAAAAATGAACACCACAATTTTAAAAAGTATCAAGCAAAAGCAACAAGAGTCTCCCTTTAATAATAAGCAAGATTTAGTTCTGAATAGAAAGGCCTTCTGTCTGCTAATGAATTGCTGGACCCTGTATTAGTGTTCTGAAACAATCACAGCACTGAGAATAAGAATAATGTCAGGTTTAGAACATAATAGTTCTATATTTGTTGATGCAAATTAGATAAGATATTCTTCACCACCTAGCCCCCCACACCTAGCCGCTCAGTGCATTTTAATTTACTACTGATTAGAACTACTGTAAACACTTTTATAGTAAAATGATGTTCAATCATAAGTCATACCCGGTGAGGTTAGACATTAATACTAGTAGCCATCCGAACACAATGAGTAAGAGGGTCAACCATTAATTATCCTTTCATGCACCACCAGATTTTGCCCATTGCTAGGAATAGGTCATTTCCTCGCAATGGCATATGCTTGACAGCACCTGAAAAACTAGAATTAAAAGGCAATTTCATTTACATAGGAAGTGTGTAGATTAATAAGAGTAACCAAAAAAAGGAGCTGTGTGAATCTGTCCATTTCCTTGGCAAGCCCATAAGCCCTCCCTCAGTCTGACTGGGAGCATTAAAATGGGGAGCAACACAGTGCGCTTGTATCCACCACCATACAAATATTCTCCTCAAGACTGCAGAGGATCCCATTCCATTCAGCCATAAGACACAGCTGCCAATTTGCCTTCTGAATGACTTTTTTTAATCTAAAGGACAACTAAATTCAACCTCCTGTTTAGACCTACGATGTTGCCTAGTTTTTCCACTCCATATCAAACAGAAGGGTGAGGATTCATGCAGACAGACCCACAGGGCATCAATTCAAGATATGCAAAGCCAAGAGAGATATAAACTGTGATACCTTTGTATTCGCAAAGGCTTTCATGGCCGGGGTCTAATGGTTGTTGTGGGGTTTTTGGGCTCTTTGGCCGTGTTCTGAAGGTTGTTCTTCCTAATATTTCGCCAGTCTCTGTGGCCGGCATCTTCAGAGGACAGCACTCTGTACTCTGGTGTAGTTGGCTTGGGAGTGGAGTATTCATAAGTGCTGTTCTCTGAAGATGCCGGTCACAGAGACTGGTGAAACGTTAGGAAGAACAACCTTCAGAACACGGCCAAAGAGCCCGAAAAACCCCCAACAACCATGTGATGCCTTTGTTTTCCAATCAATCTTCATCTTGTCTTGCGACCAATTTGTTTCCCAGTATAAAAACCATTACAATTGTTTTGCCTTTTCTACCATCTCCAAAACGGTATCATATCTATGGTTGAAGAGCAGTTCTTTGAGACTTTGTTTGTAACTTTTAGTAATGCAATAAAATATTACCTGACCTAAAATTACAAGTAAAAGATGCTGGAGGGTATTCCTTGCATTCTTCCCCAACATAAAATTATTTATGATTTCTCTTCTGTTCTTACTTTCATGAAACACTCAAGAGCAGGGGATGGATTCAGTCTTTTTCCATGTTAGCACCAGCAGAACTCCCATTACCTTCTGCTCCAGCAAAACATCTCACTGTCTAATTGGGTCCCCACTGAATCAGATGTGTTAACCTGAAACACCTGAAAATGAATGTTCATTTGCCATTCCACCTACAACAAGAAGATAAAATGCAGATGCCTGTGCCATATTTCAAAGGCACAGAGACATACGAAACACATGCCATGAGTTGCATTTATGGTTTCACCATGCTATGTGGCGACATTGTGGCCAAAATCAAACTGCTATTTAGACACAGGCAAGAGGAATGAGATAAATGTCCCTAGTTCTCTTCAGCTAATTGACAAGATGTCACGTGCATGCCAGTTGCGGGATCAGATGTGCAATCAACATGTGAATGGAACTTTGGCAGTTCACCACAACAGTTTCCACAACTCTTCTTGAACACATAAATATTCAATAGGATTCTGGATTACGCATATGCACAGACTAACTAAAAAGTAGCCATGCATGTGCAGTTGCGACCAAGGAAACTGGGGTAGGGCACATGTGGCCCTTTAGATGTTGTTGGACTGTGACGGCTATCAATCAGCATAACAAATGGCAAGGGTCTGCAAAAGCGGCTATCTAGAACATCCTCTGGGTGATCCTGGCTGTGTCCTCGCCCAGTAGGCAAAGTTGGGATTCAAATGCCTGACTCCACAACCACATGCCCCAGCCATTAAGTGATAGCTGCTATGGACAGATTAATGGCACAGTATAAATAAACAAGAGTTGTGCAATCAAGATATTATCAGACTTCTTGGCATCTTAACTGACATCAAAGACAGCAGTAAAGTGTGGATCCTAAAACAAAACAAAATGACATCCAGCCCTATTTCAAAGCCAGACAGGTTTTTTGTGGGTTCAAGATTGCTCAGGTAGAAAGTGTCTGTCAGAGAAACCTGATCTTGTTAATTTAATCTCCTGGTGCTTACTAAGATATAGCAAGCTCAAGAGATGTATAGCTTCAAGTGAGAGTTGTACAATGAAAATAAAAGCAGAAGGAGGAGCAGAAAACAATGCCGAAAAGCCAAGTTGCTGGGGAAGACTGATGTTTTAATTGATTCAGCAATTTGGACCTAATAAATTAATTTACCTATTATCACAACTTTCAGTATTTTTATATTTATTAGAGTTGGCTACTATGGAGGCCTGGACTGCCTTCATCTTGCATACAGGAGAAATATGCATGCAAGTCCTTACAAGGACAAAGACAATCTTTAGCAAAATACAGTAAGATAATTTCAGGATATTTTCTTGTTGATTCACAATTACCACAATTCTGTCCAATTGAGCATAAGAACTACACTGAATATATCTGACAAATATTTTTCAAAACATTCCTTGTTAGTCTTAATTCTTTCAGCCTTTTGGGCAATTCATTCTATGCAAACTGTTACAGTTTATGTGCTGCACCAAAACATAATCCACCTACATGGCCTTCCATGGTATAAATCAAATATGTGCCACTGAACTTTCACTGCTCCTTCAATAAATCCTGCAATTTTTTTTTACACTTCTTAATACAGAATGGTCTTTTTTTTGCAGGAGTGGAAAAGTTAGTTCGATAAATTATCAGATGAGAAATCAATGACAGAAGGTTTAAAGAATCTGTGGGTTTTAAGAGCTTAGATTTTTTTTTTGCTCAAAACAGGCCAGCCTGACAGGACAAGGGATTTCCAACTTTGTAAAACTTTCTGAATATTTTTAGAAACTGAATGCCTTGCCATGATGTGAAACAACCAATTTCCATTCACAAGAATGCAGGTAATTTTGACCTTACTGGCTTGCAGAATAACAGGAAATGAGGAATTAACAATCAATGCTCTGATTTCCATTTTCTAATGGATTTAGGAAAAGGAAAATATTGACATTGGCCACATTTAAGTACCTGTGAACTGAAAGCCAAAAGGTACCACAAGATGTGGTGGTTTGCTATGAATGTGTATATTTTCTGAATAAATTTCTGGGAAAAATTCTGTGAAGTTGAATCCTTCGGAAGCCATTGTTGCTGCTTTCTTGCAGGTAGGCTAATGCCGTTTTGGGTGACCCGGAAATCAAGGACGCACGTCCTGCTTTTGCTCATAAGACCTCAATGGCTGAACTGCAGTACAAAGTCACACCTAGAGAAGGTGCACGGAATCAATGCCACCACTCATGGAGGAGCCGACTTACTAAATATACACCACTTCACTGGGTCTACTTAGCTGCAACTTACTGATGGATCCCAGCCATCGTCATTTGTTGGGGTTACGTGCCATCAAGTCGCCTCCGACGGATGGCGACCCTCTAAATGAGCGGCCTCCGACACTTACCTTTCTCCTTGCGATTTACAACCACGCAAGGTCGACGACTGGGCGGCTTAAGTTAAGCGCCATTGATCGGGCAAGAGAACAACGCCCTCTTCAGCCCTGGCCGGCTACCAACGACGACGCCCTAAAACCCGCGGGTGCCCCTGAGCTTTCGTCTGCTTCGAGCAACCAAGCGCGCAGGGCTCCGGGGGAAAGGGAGCGCCTTCCAACCCGCCCGTCCGCCCGTCCGACAAGTTTTTCGCGGCCCTTCCCTCCGCCTCACCTGTAGCACAAGCGACCCCCAGAGCTCCCCCCAGGACTAGGAAGTGCAGCCAGGCCCGGTTGAGGCGCCCCATCGCCACAGCAGGAGCCTCCGACACGCTCCACCCTCGCCGCCTTCCTCCAGTCTCGTCGACGGGACCTCGGGAGTTTCGGCGTCCTTACCTAAAGGGGGAGGTGGCGGCGGGCGCCGTGGGCGGGGCCTGCGGGAGGCGTGGGGGACGGGC